TTTGTTACTCTCCCTACGGGTATTTTGGAATGCCACAACCTACAGTCAGCACTCACAGACCCCAGTAGCATACATGAACTCCTACTCAAAGAAATTAACAACGGCATCATGATAGGGCCTTTCACAACACCACCTTTCACCTCCTGGAGAACAAACCCTCTGGGCATAGCTACGGAGAAATGTAACAATAAAAAGAGAAAAAGAGGCTTATAATTGACTTTTCAGCACCTCACTCTTCCACTACACCTAGCTTGAATGCACTAATTCCGTCAGAAGATTTCTCTCTTCAATACGCTAGAATTGATGATGCCATACAAGCCATCATTCATTTCGGTAAGGCTGCATTGTTAAGCAAAACCGACATTACTAATGTGTTTAATTACTACCCATACAATAGTCACTCTGGCACCTGCATGGCGTTAAGTGGGAAGACAGGTATTATTTCGCGACCAAGCTAACTTGGGCTCCAAGAGTAGCCCCAAGATATTTGATATCTTCGCTGAGACTTTAACCTGGCTCCTACTTAACAAGTGCAGATGTCCAGTAGTAATCCACTGTAATGGACCGTTTCAGCACACAAGGGGTTAAAACCATTTAGGCGATCGTCCCCTCCAGAGATGCAGGCACAGCTACTGCGGAACACCAATCCGCCGAACAGGAAACCATATGAATGCTGTAAACAGCCGAATAGGAAAAAACATACGAATAGGTTTACACTCCTAGCAGTCAAACTGGAACAGCATACAATAAATGCCCCCAAGAATGAGACAAAGCTCCGTGTTAAGGGTCAAGCAGTGAACAGTTTAATGAGGGCTACCTGCCCAGTATTTATGCAGGTCTTCCACCTGGTGGACACTCCCCTAGGGGACCAAATGGGAGACTGTGACAAGGGACAGACAAGCAGACAAATAGGACACACAGTCACAGTATATTCCCACAATGCACCCTGGCTTCCTCCCCTCTGCCTTGGAGATAATTGAGAAGTAATTCAATTATCTCCCAAGACAAAGGCAAATCACCATTATGCACGTGGGGATACTAAAACAGGAATTACTATTAAAATACACTATGTGAGACACATTACATTAAAACTATACATTTAACATATCCCCAGATAGCTCAGATCTGAGCGCACATAATTAAGCGAATCGCGCTCAGACCACACAAATACAGTTCAATTGCCATGGAGCCAAAGTCTTTACACAGTCAGTTTCATGCGAATGGGCTCCATGGGATTCCTATCTGGGGTATAACATAGACAAGTAAAACTACCGAACATCGCGCAAAACTGTGTCCGATTTTAGTTCCATGAATTAAGCGTCGAACACCGCTGTGCATTCGTATGTTTAAAATGGCCGCGACCTCGTGTTCGGGATACGAATGGCGGCCACCCAGCATTCGTCAATTAAGCTGCGGTTAACCGTAGCTTCAGGGAGGTTAATTGCCGCCACACTCCAGCTCCCAGGTGGTCTATTCATTCATGCGGTTGTTCGGTAGATTAAATCTACCGAACAACCTGCAGAAAATCACGAATAAAGCTTTTCTGCAGGCGAAACAAAGTCTTTTAACATGGGGCCATAGTCCAAAGGCAGCAGGCGGGCAACCAGGCTTCTCCAATGCAATGTGGCGAGATTGGTCTCGTCACATCCACTATTTAGACAACTTTCTCACCATCGAACCACACCACTGCACATCAAGCAACCTTCGTCACGTGCTCTATCTTTTCAAATATCTAGGAGTCCCTTTTCCCCCAGACAAAACAGAAGGTCCCAAAACCGAGATTACTTTCCTGGGTATTACACTTAATTCCGTGCATATGCAAGCCAGCCTCCCCCAAGAGAAAGAAGACAGAATTATCTCATATCAACATCTGCACATCACAGGGCTCTTGTATCAGGAAACAGCTACAGTCACTACTCGGGTCACTTAATTTTGCGATGAGAATAATACCACAGGGGAGATCTTTCATTTTCAGAATTCTCTCTCCTTCACGGGCTCCCTGACGATGACTCCACGACCCTCTTAGACGAACCAGCTAGAGCAGATCTTAAAATGTGGCATCTATTTCTGTCATCTTGGAGTGGCAGGTTGCTATTCATCCCCCCTATTTCTGACAACTCCCTGGTAGTTTGGACTGATGCATCGGGTGCCATAGGCTACGCAGCTATTTTTGGTAATGAATGGGTGTACAACTCTTGGCCACTAGAGACTACCACACTAGTGAACTTCAATACCACCTCAGCACTATTCGAAGTATTCCCAATCGTAGCTGCTGCTCACATATGGGGTAAGGAATGTAGTGGACAGTCGGTCAGGTGCTTATCAGATAACATGGCGGCATGTGATATTATTAACAAAGGCCGCTCTCAGTCCCTTACCATTATGAAATTGGTTAGGAGACTTACTTGGCTACCAGCAAATCTACAATTCTGTATCTATTGCATTCACGTGCCGGTGTTCAGAACAACGCAGCTGACGCTCTCTTATGCTCTAATTTACAGGAGTTTTTCAGAATCCATTTGTGACAAACTACCTTTTGTCACTAGCTGGTTATGTGACCCACTGCCCTTTGCTCTTGGGATTTGAAGGAGCCTGATTGCCAGCCTCCTACCTTATGACTATGACCCCTGGGAGATTGGGCACGTTAAACACAGTATTTGGGCATAATGGATTTTTGTTGTGCTTTTGCTGGCCCTTTAACTCCCAGAGAAAGGATTTGTACTTTTAAATTAACACTTCGGATGCAGTCGAAGTGCCGAAGTAGTCGAAGTGGCCGCCATTCGAAAAACGAACGTGGTCAGCGGTGCGTGCCACTGAATCTATGGAACTAAAATCGGCTACACATTTGCATGAAGACCGCTGACCCTTACCTTCTCATGAACTTCGACACTTCGGCTGGAATCGAAGTGCGTTCGACAATTCGAACACACTGTTAGACTGGGCTATTTGCACGAACGGCCCCGTTCGTGCATTTGAATGAGACTTAGACATTTTTCTGTGTGAAATTGACCAAGCGCACAGCCCAACTCTATGGAACTCTTTTGGGCATGAAAATGTGCTTGCAGTCGGTCAAAGGTGACTTATATCTATCTCCTGAACGGCTGAACGGATTCAAATGATTTTTGGGTATGTTTGTATTTGAAATGTGCTGATTAATAATATGTGACTTTTATTAATACTGAATGTATAGTTTTAGAGTTATGAAAGTTAGGTAAAAAGTATGTTTTAAACTGTACAGCTAATTGTGTTACCTCTCAGGCCAAGGGGAGGAGATGTGTGGGATGTAACCAGTGTGTGATTGGGTAATTCATAATTGTCTGTGGGCATCTCCCTTGCATGGGAGAATTACATAAAAACAGAGTGTGTGTCATTAAACTTCACCCTCAATCTGTGTCCTATCTCTTATTGGGGGAATCTGCCACAAGGGATTGCAATGCTCTGCATATTCCCTTGCTATAATCACTGAGCTCTTGTATGAGCTTGTTCCTGTCTTGCTCTCTGAAGGAGTCTACGGTGGTTATGGTGTTGGCTGGAGTTCTTGGAGCCCTCAGGAAGCATCCTTCAACGGAGGTACCCAGTCGGGGTGCCAGGTGATCCGTTACACCATCCATCGTTAAACGCACAACCCAGACAACCTCTGAGCTTCACAGACCTAATCATGCTTTAAATACCCTGTTACTCTATAGTAGGTCGCTTGCACAGGCTGGTTTGTCTCTTAATACAAAAAAAGCATATTCAAGAGCATATGATTTGTTTAAAAGGCTAGTTCATGATTATTGTGTAATAAATGTTTTTTCCGTAGAAACCATGGTCGCATTTACAACTTTTTGCTACATTTCTCTTAAATTAGCTTACAATACAATCAAACTTTACTTAATGGGCATACAACACTACATGTTAACCAGTTATCCCAACAAAACTCAATTTCTAGCATCCTACCCAGTTAAAAGTGTCCTTAAAGGTGTTCAGAGAATAACAGTGCATAATCTCATCAAGAAACTTCCCATAGAAAGTACACTGTTTAGGAGTATCTCTGATGTACTAGACAAGTCCCCTTTTGAACAAACCACAAACCTAATTATCAAGTCCGTGGCTTACATAGCCTTTTATGGTTTCTTAAGACCTAAAGAATTTTCTGTAGAAAAGGCATTCGACTTTAAGTCATGCCTTCAGCAAAAACACCTAATTAAAAAACAGGACCACTACATTTTGTCAATTACCCATACCAAAACGAGCCAAACTGGTCCACCAGTAGAGATTGAATATTATCCTACCTCTACCAAATGGTGTCCAATCCACATTTTGGATAAGCTAGTGGAATCCCAACTCACTTCCAACCCTGATTCCCCACTATTGACCATTCAAGGAAAAACCTTAACCACCAAACAATTCATACTTTACATTTGTACGTTATTACTCCAGCTATTACATAATCCACATTCAATCTTGGGCCATTCATTCCATATTGGAGCAGCCACATCTGCCTCCAGAAATCACGTAATGTTATGCTTAAATAAATGTATCTGACTTAAAGAATCGCTTCTTACATTTTCGGCACACCTCAACTGACTTTGCTTCTTTCTTATGATTTCATACGTCCTCTAAATGTGCCAAACACAAATAGAAGGCTTGGCCTGTAATTGTGGGAGGCACTATGAACTCTATTTAAAACCAGTAAGCCCCTGCTTACCTGTCGGCTATGATCTCGGATCTCGCACCCTTTATTTATTCTCACTTCACCTAGATGGGCCCTCTTTTACAGGTCTAACCTCACATCAGTTTCGACACACCTCAACTGACTTTGCTCTTACCACATTTTACTTCTTTCTTATTATTTCATATGTCCTCTAAATGTGCCAGACACAAATATATATATATATATATATATATATATATATATATATATACAAAAATATAGGGTACAGGAGGCAAGCACTCACGGTCTTTTCTGGTCTCTTTAAAAGGTTGTTCTTTATTTTATAGGTTAAAACTTGATTTGATCGACGTTTCAGCCAAACTTCATGGCTTTCATCAGGATCTTAACAGCTCAAAGAACTTTGAGCTGTTAAGATCCTGATGAAAGCCATGAAGTTTGGCTGAAACGTCGATCAAATCAAGTTTTAACCTATGAAATAAAGAACAACCTTTTAAAGAGACCAGAAAAGACCGTGAGTGCTTGCCTCCTGTACCCTATATTTTTGTATATTTTTGGCATTTGGCTTGACAGCATCAGGCATAATATCATTGGAGTGTGTGTGCAAGGATACAATAGTATTTTGGATTTTATATATATATATATATATATATGTGCAATATTATTCCATTCATCTTAATTTGAAATTGTATAAGGTTCAGTTTTACAAGTGACCACAACATGTTATTTCTAGGGTTGTTCTCTTAAGTTTGAAAACACAGTGAATTTAAAGTGAATTTCAAATTTAAGGCCAGAGTGGCTGAACGGAAAGCATATGTGACTTTTACAGATCAACTATTTTGACCTTAAATTTGGAATTCACTATGAATTCTCACATTATTGAATGACCCTGCTAGTGAATTACTGGCCACCTATGTTCCAATGCTTGCATACTTGCATTCTGACCATAGGGATTAATTACTAAACAAAGTACCAGATACATGATAGATGATACATGGCTAGGGGCATATGTTTGTGTGTTCCATGAAATTAGTTGATGGTTCATTGATAGTTATATTATGTATTACAGTATTAATCATGTGGTGTGATAACCATGCTGAAGCCAAAATCCTTGTACCTAGCCTTGGTCATTGACTCTAGTGTGAGACTAGCATAATAGTATAGAGTTGTTATTTTATTTTATTTTTTTTAACTGTGTTTGTAGGAAATAAAATCCTATATTATTATTTTTTTTGAGTTTGTTCAATCCAATGCATGTTGTGCAAGTATGCAAGAACTGTACAGTGCTTCTTAACATGAAGTACAATAAAGTTATAGCAATAAATACACCAATCATTAACCTATTTTGCAACACAAACACAATTTTTTTTACTAAATATAGTTGTGTACTTTATGCAATGCTCAAGCATTCAAATACTTTTCCTAATGTATTCTAATAAGAAAAACAAACCCACCATCATTAATGTCATGTACTACTACCCAAGCCAAACTGAGAGAGTATAGTGGGAGTGGTCCTGTTCCCCAATCCAACAACAGTAGTCATGCCATAACCTGTAAGAGTTGGAGCTTCTCTTCCTTGACTTTGCTGCAACAACTTGTGCTTTCACTGGCACTGCAGCTCTAGCTACCAGAGCTAGTTCATTGCTCATTAGAGACTCTCTTTAGTGAGGACTTACAGTAAAATAACAAAATAGTTTTCCAACTGGTGTTGGTGGAAGTGGCGGTGATGAATACAGTGCTGAAAATTTTGTTTCACTCTCTCACTGCAGACATAGTACTTTTTTCTCTGGCTCAGGAGCTACTCAACTGTAAGTATGATGAACCAGAGGAACTAGAAGAGGAGAGTATAGAAAGGACAAGAAAAATGTGTCATGGTAAGTATACCCTAATAAACAGAATAGATGTATTACCGCACCTTAGTGTGGACAGGCTAAGGTACATACAAGAGAAGTCATAGTCAGTAGACAAGAGAAATTGTAGTCAATGGAGAGATTTTAGAGTAACATATACTTTTATAATTGAAATGGAAATCAATCAATAAATTGATTACTTTGTGTATCTAGCCAGGTCACGGTCATAGAAGTACTCAGAAAGTAAAAGACAAGACAAGGTCAAACCATAAATGCTTAGAATAATATCAAGAATGCATTAATCGGGTGCCAGAATAGAAACCATTATAAGGCAAAGGACTATAGGCACAGGTGTGCTGGATGTGTCTGGGCACACCCTAATTCTCGTGGCCTGCGCATGGATCGAGGCTGGCAGGGGAGATCACAAGATATCCCGTCGGTCCATGTAGAGCCGATGCTATCCAAGCGCAGGCCCTGCTGTGTGCCTCCATGGGCTGGTGAGGAGATCAAAGATCTCCCTCACCAGGCCAGAGGCAGGAGAGGACCCAGGGAGCTCTAACCAGCAGCTCCGCTGGGTCCCTTATGCGAGGAACACTCAGATCTTGCGAGAGTGAACTCTAGCCCTGCAGGCTAGAGTTCACTCTCACCAAAAAGGCCACCAGGGATGGCAGCAATGATCCTCCCTCCCAGGATAAAGGTAAGAACGGAGAGAGGATCCTTCTTACCTTTCCTAATCTGTCCCCCCCACACAATCACTCCAAACAAATTTACACACACAGTACCCTCACACACACACAGCACACTAACAACACCCTCAGACACACAGCACCCTCACACACACACACACACAGAGCAACCTCACACACACACACACACACACACACACAGAGCACCCTCACAGCACACTATCACACACACACACACATCACCCTCACACACACAGCACCCTCACAGCACACTACCAGCACTCTCTCTCACACACACACACACACACAGCACCCTCACACATACACAGCAGTCTTTTACACACACACACACACACACACACACACAGCAGTTTATGTATGTATATGTGTGTGTATATATATATATATATATACATGCAACATGTGTGTTTGTGCTTTAGGGTGCACACACTAATGCAATAGGCTGCACAACGCCGGTGACTATGGGTATAAACAATAAGGGCTAGGAGCGTTTCAGTTGTCCACGTCACTTCTGTGACCCAAAAATTGTGGAATTGATGTTGCAAACCAGAAGTGAACCAGCCTCAGGGTTATTAAAGGACGCACTCCACAAGCGAGCAGCATCCATCTTGCTGTATGGAGCATAATGTATATCAGATCCATTTAATCTATGTGAGTGGCCATCCAGGAAAGCTCACTACAGCCCCACTAACCAACTTTTTTTTATTTTTTTCATTAAGTATTAAAAATTTGGTGGTGGTGATGTTGGAAGTCATCCCCTTGTTCATTCTCCTAAAAAAAAAAAAAAAGTCCTGCTGTTTCCCCTCTTTTTTTCCCATTGCCTTTCACTGTGGTTATGTCCTGCCTGACTAAGACTTTAGGTGCCTGTTACCGCTACATAACCAGTTGGGGAAGGTGAAATGGCTCACTTTCTTTCCACAGTGAAGGATGGTAACTTATTTTAGTAAGGAAAAAGTAAGTAGGCATGGGCAATTGACCACCCTGAGAAAAGCAAAGCTTTCCCACACATCAAGAATGTAGCAGTCACCGTATTTTAGTGTGAAAATGGGGTTGGTAGCAACAATGTAACATGGCTGTGTAATCCAAAAGCAAATACAAACACGCAAATATTAAAGGGACACTGTAGGCACCCAGACCACTTCAACTCATGTAAACTGCAATAATTACCCGTTAGGGATAACTACTCCTCTAGTGGTTGTCTACCAGACAGCCATTAGAGGGACATCCGGGCTCGAAGGTGACTTTTGGTAGCCTAAATAATGCTGGACGTCCTCACGCTATGCATGAGGACTTTCAGCGTCACCGGAATCCACCTAGGAAAACATTAGTCTCCCATGCCAGCTGACATTGGTGAAGAGAAGCGTGGGTAGAGTCAAGCCAGCGCTGGACCCAGGTAAGTAACAGAAGGGGCTTTTAACATCTTCTACACCTCAGGGTCTGTCATGCCAGGAAAACGAGTTTCCCTTTAAACCTGGTATTCAAACTTCAACTACACCTGGCATCAGCGTAGGGATTCATTTGTGTGTTTTTATTTGCTTTTGTATTACATAACAATGTTAAACTGCTGTCGCCCACTCCGTGTGTTCCCAATTAATGGTTAATAAGTGTGTATTGATTTATAAAAATACCCCTTTCTGTCTAGAGACTTTGTCATTTAGCTGAACGTAGCAAGATTTTATGGCTATTGAAGTCATTCTAAAAGCCTCCTATTATTTAAAATGTGCATAGGGATTTGGGATAGTGCGACGGTAACTTTTTTTTTTTTCCTTTGATCATAAGAGTTAGTCAGACCGGGTGAAACCATAACATGAATGGCATTTGAAAAATTATCAGCAAGAGTAATTTAGTTTGCAAATGGGATTTTTAAAAAAAAAAATTAGTCGGCAACTGAAGCCTCGCTCACCTGTTCCATCCTTTACTTTTTTTAAAATAAAAAAATCCAGTTTTTCCATTTAAATAACTCCTGCTGCTGCTTGGGCACTGTGTTTTTCCACACTGGTATATAGACTGAAAGTGTTGGAAAACTTTTTTATTGTGAGGGTTGAAGGGGCGAGTGGCTGTTCAATTGCCCACTTACAGTTCATTTCATTTTTGGGTAAATCCCCTATTTTAACATGAAATAACTCCTGGTTACCATTTTTTTCAACAATGCAAGATATTAAAAGGCAAAATATTACAATCAATCATTATAAAACAACGTTCTCTCACTTACTATTTTTTATAATGAAATCCAAATATTGAAAAATAACCAAATGTTGGCAACTCAGAATTGTCATTGCAGAAATGGCTGATGTTGCTTAGTGTCTGATAATATGCAAACATGTATTGTAATTTTACAATAGTTTGGGGACACAGAAATTAGCCACTTTCAGCTTTGCAAAATGTCTGGGGGAAGTAAAGAAATATGAGATCTGAATCACATTAGGAATAGTTACAACAGCATAACCAGAGCACAAAGTGATCAAAGAAAAACAGCAAATTAGGCGCTGTGATTTTTAAATTAAGCAATCTTAATCAAATAATGCACAAATTGCTTTAGAGGCAAAGTGTACACAATGCAGCACAGGACGAAAATACACTGGAGAAAAAGGACAAACATTGAGAAGGAGAATACATTTCCTGGGAAAAAATGACAAACTAGTCTGCAATGAAGATATTTTAATAATTGGATTAAAACAAACCTCCAGATTAATTAAAACAAAAATGTGTAATTAATATATTACTATGGTTACTATGGTGTCAAAGGGGGGTGACAGTGGTGTGGAGGGGGGTGACTATGGTGTGGAGGGGGGTGACTATGATGTGGAGAGGGTGACTATGATGTGGAGGGTGACTGTGTGGTGTGGAGAAGTGACTATGATGTGGGGGTTGATAGTGGTCTGGAGGGTGACATG